CCCCCAATTTTTATAAGTAATTTGAGTCACATTTTACTATGATCATTCTCTGGTTGACTGGTGAATCACCAATTAAATAAAATAGGTCAAAACAATTTTGGTTTTAAATTTTAATTTCAGATTTTTAAACCTGAAATAATTTCATTGCTATATATAGTTTACAATATCAGACTGCCTTTGCATAGCAAACTTCAGAAGCACATTATACAGATTTTGCCAGATATGAAAATAACTATACTAATATATAAGAATTATGAATAAAGAAATAAAAATAACTAATATATTAAACTACAAATAAAAAAATGATTAGTAGTATAACTGCCAGCTTAAAAAAAAAATAAATTTATTTTATATAAGAGACATAATACCATATTAGTTTGATATCAAAACAAAACATATATGCAGGAAGAAAAAAAGTGAAAAAAGTGAAAATACTCAGAAACTGGTGTTTAAATAGACCTTTAAGCACTAACAAAAAGTGTTGGAAATATATTTTATATATAATATATAAAGCTAATAACCCTAATATAAACTCTAACATGAACTCGAACTCAAACCCTAAACTAAAGCAAAAAATACGCCACACTACGTAATGGTTACGTTACTGCAAAAAGTGTTTAGACCTCTAAAGCAGGGCAGGCTTTAATTCTGATTAGTCAATCACTAAAATATATTATTATATATATACTGCATATATCATCTAACTTTAAACAAATTGGTAGCTATAGCAATGAATTGTTAAATGAAACTGATTAATATTCAAAAACTACACTTTTTGCTTAATATATAGTAAAAATAATCCAAAGAATGGAAAAATAATCTAAAAGTTAATAAGAAGGTGCACTTTTTGTTTTATAAATAAAGTGATTCAGTAATTTGCAAGGTAATATGTATTGTTTCTTAACTAAAAAGTGTTATTACACATGGATTTTTTTTAGCTTAAACATAGTAATTGCTTACAGTTAGCTTTTAATTTTTTTTTTAATTTAGATTATTTGACCAAGTTTTTAAAGCTACAATGTATTATATATAGAATACTTATATTGTAGAATATAAACAATTATATGCTATTGCAATTCTAGTTAGTGTTTTGTTTCTATATGTCTCATCTTTATGAGTGTTTATTACACTTGTTGATAGTTGAACTTTTTTTAAAAAAATTAATTTATGTTATGTTATAACTTATATTTATTATTTTATTATTGTTATTAAATTATACTAAACAAGCAATTTGATTAATAAAGGTTATACTGTATATAGTTTGTTAAGCTTAAAGACTCAGACATTTTTTTATTAATTTTAATTAGATAAATATTTAACAATAACAATATATTATTATATAAGGTAACTAGAGCTATAATGATGCAGAGAGTAATTTGGCACACTGTAAAAAACTCAAGAAAACAGAATTTTTTACTAAGCAAGTCAAACCTCATCTACTAAATAAAGTTATTGAAAATACTGTTTTCTAGATATATTTAAATTTTATGTGATTTGGCTAATTTTTTATTAATTAATTTTCATGTTATATATTTTGAAGCAGAAAGTTTGCTTCTTGTATTAACTAAATAATACAGAAATTGATTAATGAAAAATTAACCAAATCACATCAAAAATTGAAAGTATATAGAAAATAGTATTTTCAATAACTTTATTTAGTAGATGAGATACAACTTGCTTAATAAAAAATTCTGTTTATTGTAAAATAATTCTTTGATAAAGAAAATAATCTATATTACTGTATAATTCACTACAGTATTGTAATTATTGCAAATTAATTTGCTCATTACTATACGATTCACTGCAGTATTGTAATTATTACAAATTAATTTGCTAATTAGTTGATTTTTTTTTTAGCCATTGACACATTTTCATGTTTAAGTTTAATAAGAACTCAACACTAAATATTACTAACTTCAAATAGGTAAATATTTTAATAACAATTCAAAGAAACAAACTTATTAGTAAAATGACCAGCATAGGAATTAAACTTTAATCTAATCTATGATAATTTAAGTACTAGTTTGCTTTTCTTTTAGTTTAAACTTGAATTATGTTTTTTGTAAAAACTAGATTTGAAAGTGTTTAGTAATTTTTCTTTTAATTTTTTTTTGAAAAACTTTTTTTTTGTAGTTCTTGTTTGGTTTCAAGATGAATTGTAAATTATATAAATATATAGTCATTATGATGTAATTAACAGTTAATTCATAAATCATGTATAATTATAGTATATGGCTTTAGTTATGACTAGAGGTATGAGTGTAATGCTGTAATTTGTTATAATTATGACAAATTATAGTATTGTGCTCACACTTCTAGTTATAACAGTATAGTTTGTATTTATTATATAATTTTATTAAATGAATTTTTGAATTTTGGTATTGCAATTACAAAAATAATTTCTACTCAGGTAGCATATAGACAACTGTTTCTGATTCTTTTTTAATAAGTTTGTCTCTTTCAAACATTGCCTTAGCTTTTGCTATTTCAGGTATTTGATAATAGACCAACTTTTCTGTATCTTTATGTATTGTGACAAGTATTTGATGATAGATCTTCTTTTCCTCTTCCTCTTCATGTTTTGTGATAGATATTTGATAATAGATCACTTTTTTCATTTCTTTATATCTTGTGATGGATTGTTGAATGATGTGTTGTTTGGTGTATTGCCTAATAAGATTTTTTTTATATCATCTAGGTGGCATTATGTTAAGGAATAGTAGTAGATTAATTAAATTCTTTGATAGGTGTTTTTTAAAATATATGATCTATCTTTAATATTGTTTATATAGAAAATGCAACTATATACTTGATAATTATAAATCTCATATATAACAATAATTTATTATTATTTATTAAATAAAAGTCTTTAAAAACATTTGCAATTGTATTTGATTTATCTAATAAATTATTTATCACTTTGTTAGATTCAAAACTATAATAATTATAACAACTAAAAAAAAAAATAGCATGTGCTAATAAATCTCAGCTAAAAATCCTAATTATTATACTAACTAAAAAAGGAATAATATATTAGTTAAATAATAATCAACTAGTATAAAAATAATAATAAATACAAATATGCAATATTTAATTGCTTTGCTTCAAACAGTTAGCCTATTTGATGATTCGTATGATTATTTTTTAAATTTATAAGCAAATTATTCTATCCAAAATTGTTATTTTGTTTTTTTTTTTTTAATCACAATAACTATGCAATTATATTTAAACACAATAACTATGTGATTATATTTAAACACAATAACTATGCAATTTTATTTAAATAATTTAAAGAATGTTTGTCTTTATTTTTTAAATAAACCTGGTACAAAAAAAAAATCCACTTCCAAAAAATAAAAACCAAAACTCAAACTACAATAACTAAACCCTATTAAAATCTAAATCTAAAAAATTTAAACCCAAATTTAATTGAGTTACTCACGAAAAGCCATCAAAGCCACTCTTAATGAACTTGCCAGCCCTCAACATTCTAGCATACATGCAACTGCTTTAAAATTCAGGGTTGCAAAGACAACACTAAGATATACAGTAAAGAATAATAGCATGTTTAAGTGTCTTGGCCATTCTTCTGTCTTAAATAGCTATAAAGAAATACAACTTGTAGGCTACTGCCTGAACATGCAACGTTTGGGATTTGGTTTAACAAGATCAAATATTAACTATTGTGTAATAGAGATTATAAAAAGTAGTAATCGTGAAAATCCTTTTAATAAAAAGGGTCTCAATAAGGCCTAGTAGACATGTTTTATGAGAAAGTATCTAGAACTTTTTTTTCAAATACCTCAGGCATTATCAGAGGCACGAGCACAGCAAGCTAATCCTGTAATAATAAAAAACCATTTTGACAAGCTTAGTAAAATAATTGAAGAAAATTCTCTTATTGCAGATCATATATAGAATATAGATGAGATGGAGTTTATTATTTCTCCTGGAGTTTAAAAAGTACTTGCTAAAAAAGGTGCTTGTTAAGTTCACAAAATTGCTCATAGCAATGTACACAAGCATATATCTGTTGCTCCAATGATTTCTGCTGCTGGTAGTTATATACTATCATTATTTATCTATAAAGGTGTTCGCACAATTCCAGGCTTGCTAACTGGTGCTTCACCTGGTAGTGTTATAGCTTTCACAAATTCTGGATATATGAAGAAGTGTATATTTGAAATGTATATTAAACATTTTGTTAATTCAATTCCACCCTCTTGCCCTGTCCTTCTAATTCTTAATAGACATAAAAGTCACATTAATTATACATATGTCAATTTTTGTTCCAAAAACAACATTCTATTATATGCTCTTCTGCCATATACTACCAGGGTTGGCAATGGACTATGTCCATTAAAAATAGATTTGCCAATAGAGCTCAATGAACCAATGTTATAATATATTGATCCATTGGTCCATTGACCATTTATATATTAGCTTATTATTTTTATAAAACAATTAAATATTGCATATTATAAGTAAAACTTTACTTATCTTATTGCTAAATATGTATTATTTTATTTATTTATTAAATAGTTACCTATTCATATTTATTACAACCACTGTAACCATTAAATAGGAAAGCTTGTACTATTATAATTTTGAAGATTGATATTAAAAATAATATATAATCTGAGTTATAAAATATAGAACTAAGATATTTGGAATTTATTTTAAATAGTATATGATTTTATATAATTTTTATTTTAGAAATAATTTATAGAGCATCTATTTTCTTTAAGTATACAGATTAAGACTTATTTATTTAACTGCTTATTTATATTATATAGTCAAATGAATAAAAGATTTAATAAATATTTATATTCTTAAAACATTATATCAGAATCATATTGTTACAGAGTAGTAGCCTTCTTAATTTACTCTATAACAACGACACGGCACAGGGAATCCTTTCATAGGTATATGTGGTGTCCAAGAGGTAAGTATAGCTTCTTTTTCTATTAAGAAACTATACCCTTCTCTAAGGCAGTTCGTGGGGAAATA